AAGACAACGCTTGACTCGGTCACTGGGGCTGTCAAACTTCACATCACAAATGAACTTCAATTTCTCATCTGGTTCAAGTATATGTACTGCCATGACTTGACCATGCTTCATCCACAGCTGGGCGAAGATTGTGGCATTGAATTCCATAGCGCACCTTCTTGCTGCCATGCAGGAATATGTTGAGAGAAGTGAACATATTTTTACTAAAAAAACAACAGCCACTGAAGAGGATAGCATTAGCAATAGCCTTGGGTGAATTTCCTGCAGGTACACGTTGTTGGTAGGTCTACTGGTCGGTCTCCGTATCGTCAAGTTCAGAAATCACCTGTACTACACATCTTGTAGAAGGGATCCTGATCGAAAAATTTTCTGATTATAAAATTCACTAAACTGAGGGCGAGACAAATAGTCAGTACTCCCCGATTCCGTCTAGCTGCTTTGATCAAGTGATGCTAACAAGCTCCCCGTTGTTACTTCCAGCAGCTTCACTTTCCCTGCGACAGCGGCTATCAACCTTTCTGTCCATCGTCGACAATTATCACAGATTCAACATTCCACATTTGTCAGCACTGCACTGGGTGAATATGTCTCGAGACGAATTTAGCGGATCAACAACGCTTTGCTGGAGATAAATTCTCCTCTGGAGGACCTTCAGGGTACCTGGAAGGGTATAGAAGACGGGATCGCTCACGACGTTGAGAGAACATAGAAAACAACCTCCTCTTCGATTGAAAATTGGCCAAAAAGTATGTGAAATGTATGTGCGCAGATGCATTTCCACTGGCAAGCTAATCCCTCATTACGTCATCAGCGCTCGCTCGGCCGAAATTCAAAAGTCGTCTTCCTGCTCGACTCGATCGCTTCTGGAGACTCGTTCTTGTTCGAGGGGTCTTCTCTTTCACCAACCTTCGTCTTGGCATCGAAAGCTCGCGTCGAAAATGAAGCCGGAGTGCCCCTTTAAGAGCCGGGTGCCGAGGGTAATTCCTCTGATTTGGAGTTGTGAGGTGCCGAGGGTAATTCCTCTGATTTGGAGTTGTGGGGTGCCGAGGGTAATTCCCCTGGTTTGGAGTTGTGAGGTGCCAAGGGTAATTGCTCTGATTTGGAGTTGTAAGCCGGGTGCCGAGGGTAATTCCTCCCATTTGGAGTTGTAAGGTGCCGAGGGTAATTCCTCTGATTTGGAGTTGTGAGGTGCCGAGGGTAATTCCTCTGATTTGAAGTTGTGAGATGCCGAGGGTAATTCCTCTGATTTGGAGTTGTGAGGTGCCGAGGGTTATTCCTCTGATTTGGAGTTGTGAGGTGCCGAGGGTAATTCCTTTGATTTGGAATTGTGAGGTGCCGAGGATAATTCCTCTGATTTGGAGTTGTGAGGTGCCAAGGGTACTTCCTCTGATTTGGAGTTGTAAGCCGGGTGCGGAGGGTAATTCCTCTGATTTGGAGTTGTAAGGTGCCGAGGGTAATTCCTCTGATTTGGAGTTGTGAGGTGCCAAGGCCAAAGGGTAATTCTTCTGATTTGGAGTTGTAAGCTGGTAGCCGAGGGTAATTCCTCTGATTCGGAGTTGAGAGGTGCCGAGGGTAATTCCTCTGATTTGAAGTTGCGAGGTGCCGAGGGTAATTCCTCTGATCTGGAGTTGTGAGCCCGGTGCCGAGGGTAATTCCTCCGATTTGGAGTTGTGAGGTGCCGAGGGTAATTCCTCTGATTTAGAATTGTGAGGTGCCGAGGGTAATTCCTCTGATTTGGAGTTGTGAGGTGCCGAGGGTAATTCCTCTGATTTGGAGTTGAGAGGCGCCGAGGGTAATTCCTCTGATTTGGAGTTGTGAGGTGCCGAGGGTAATTCCTCTGATTTGGAGTTGTGAGGTGCCGAGGGTAATTCCACTGCTTTAGAATTGTGAGGTGCCCAGGGTAATTCCTCTGATTTGGACTTGTAAGTCGGGTGCCGAGGGTAATTCCTCTGGAGTTGTGAGGTGCCGATGGTAATTCCTTTGATTTGGAGTTGTGAGGTGCCGAGGGTAAATCCTCTGATTTGGAGTTGAGAGCCGGGTGCCGAGGGTAATTCCTCTGATTTGGAGTTGTGAGGTGCCGAGGGTAATTCCTCTGATTTCAAATTGTGAGGTGCCGAGGGTAATTCCTCTGATTTGGAGTTGTTAGGTGCTAAGGCCAAAGGGTAATTCCTCTGATTTGGAGTTGTGAGGTGCCGAGGGTAATTCCTCTGATTTGGAGTTGTGAGGTGCCGAGGGTAATTCCTCTGATTTGTTGTGAGTCTGGTGCCGAGGGTAATTCTTCTGATTTGGAGTTGTGAGGTGCCGAGGGTAATTCCTCTGATTTGGAGTTGTGAGGTGCCGAGGGTAAATCCTCTGATCCGGAGTTGTGAGCCCGGTGCCGAGGGTAATTCCTCTGATTTGGAGTTGTGAGGTGCCGAGGGTAATTCCTCTGATTTGGAGTTGTGAGGTGCCGAGGGTAATTCCTCTGATTTAGAATTGTGAGGTGCCGAGAGTAATTCCTCTGATTTGGAGTTGTGAGGTGCCGAGGGTAATTCCTCTGATTTGGAGTTGAGAGACGCCGAAGGTAATTCCTCTGATTTGGAGTTGTGAGGTGCCGAGGGTAGTTCCTCTTATTTGGAGTTGTGAGGTGCCGAGGGTAATTCCTCTGATTTAGAATTGTTAGGTGCCGAGGGTAATTCCTCTGATTTGGAGTTGTAAGTCGGGTGCCGAGGGTAATTCCTCTGGAGTTGTGAGGTGCTGAGTGTAATTCCTCTGATTTGGAGTTGAGAGGCGGGTGCCGAGGGTAATTCCTCTGATTTGGAGTTGTGAGGTGCCGGGGGTAATTCCTCTCATTTGGAGTTTTGAGGTGCCGAGGGTAATTCCTCTGATTTGGAGTGGAGAGGTGCCGAGGGTAATTCCTCTGATTTAGAGTTGTGAGGTGCCGAGGGTAATTCCTCTGATTTGGAGTTGTGAGGTGCCGAGGGTAATTCCTCTGATTTGGAGTTGTAAGCCGGGTGCTAAGGGTGCCTATTTGGAAGCGCCAAACCTACGCTACACACACCGTTTTCAAGGTTTTCATTGGGGAGACCTCTCTCTCTCTCTCTCTCTCTCTCTCTCTCTCTCTCTCTCTCTCTCTC